GGTATTTACAATGCTCCCTTTCCTCCAACCTCCCCAAGTCATACTATATCTCCTATTCTCTTCTGCCTCTACCCAACCCCTCCTTTCCAGGAAAGCCTCTGCAGCCACCTTAGTCTAGCCCAGCCCACACAGACATCTTTTAACCCTTAGCCTACAATGTCTATACTGCCTGATTTTACAAATTAAGCCTGTACATCGTGTTGTATTTAATATCCCGTAAATATATGTGACCCTACCAAACATAGCCTTCTTTAGTAACCTTAAGTTCCTTCCATAGTGAAAAGCAAGCAGTAAGCACTCATTATTTTGACTTATAAATTGAAAAACTGATTAAGTTAAGGTCCTTGACTCAAATGTCCTAGTTTAGTTCTACCAATAACCCATCATGAAACCTCTAATGCCTCTCTGTATGCCACTTTCCTCATATGTAAAAATAGGTGGGTTGAACTAACTGATGTTTCTATCTCTTAACCTTTGAATTAGGCAGCCACTTTTCATTTTGAGATCTGAGAAAAATTACTAAGAAACAGTAAACCCTCCCCCAGCTCTCCCAGGCAGGGTTAGTCACTTACTCCTCTGGGCTTCCGCAGCTTTCTGCATGCATATACAACACCTCTATTACAGTATTTATCACAAAGTTTTGAGAGAGTGGCTAAAGTAGAGGTAGAAAGAAGAATCAGACTGCCTGGATTCAAACTCTGGCTTTCTTATCATCTGTGTAACCATGGGCAAGTTATTTAACCTCTCTATGATTTAATTTTCTCACCTATAAAATGGAGACAATATAGCACAGGATAGTAATAAGAATTTAATAAAATAATATGTTTAAATAGTGCCTGCCATATAATAAGCTCTAAAAAACTTAGTTATTATTATCATTGATGAAACTGTATTAATCTGCCCTATAACTAGGTTCGGGCTTTAACTAGATCTCTGTTCCCCTCTCATTCTCAATGATAGCACCTTGTTTATGTTTTCTTCCATGCCACTTTCCACAAGATAATATATTTATTTATGTGTTTATGTCTGTCTCACCAACTGTAACTTCCATGAGGGAAGGAACATGTCTGTTTTGTTCATCCTTAAATCCCCACAGGAACATACCTGACCAAGAGAAGGCACTCAAATATTAATACTTGTTGAATAAATATAACATGAGCTGGCATTGTTCAATGTTTGCTGAATCAATTAACCTAGCTAAGGGTGATTGTCAAAGCTGAGGCCTGGGAGCAGATGCTATCCTGGCTACCCCAGGCTTAGTGTGTCCCTCTCCCCAGTCCCCAGTATGAGCTTCAGCCAAGCCCCACCTACCTGCTCTTGGCCCTAGCCCAGTTCCGGGAGCCACCCTCAGCTAAAATTAGCATAGCTACCAAGATGGCCAGGCCATTTATAGCCTTGGAGGCAGCAGCAACTAGCTGGGGGTGGGGAGGCAGGGTTCTGGCCTGCCACTCCATCAGAGGTTGATTGAGAAGCCAGCCTGCACTCTGTATACTGCCTAGATGCCTATCCTCCCAGGCCCTGTCCTAGCTACATTGAACCAAACCACAGTTACCGATTAGAAGCCCTCAATACCTCCAACACTGGCAGCCACAACTCCAGACTCCACCTGAGGTCCCTCATACACATTCTACAGAAAACACTGTTGTTTTCTAGAGTCTAAGGATGGTTCCAAGCATCCTTAGATGGTATCAGGCCAGCTTCAGAAACACAAGCCCCAGAGTAGCACAGGCAGGCAGAGATCTTTACTGAGAACGTGACTTAGCATGGCTGGTGTACAGGTATTAAAGAGCCAGAGGGTGACAGGAATGGCCTCTCCACGGCCCAATGAGAGATCCTCCTTTAGAGCAACTGCCTTTACTGCAGGATCAGGCTTTTCATAGTGTTTATTGTATCCATGCTAAAGCCATAAGCATTTTAACTAAATCATTCTTAGAATCAAATATTTTAACTAACTAAAAAGAGACAGATGGGTATATACATCCAAAAGAAAAAACATCAAATTCTCTGGGCCCCGCAAAAGACTCTCCAGAGCAGAAAAAAATGCAGCCCTTTTCTTGGCTCTCAGCTACAGAGTCACCAGGGCCTGCCTAATTGCCAGAAGGAAAGCAACATTCTCTGGCCCTGCCTAGCTCTCTTTTAACAGGGCAGGACCTGAGAAGATGGAGGAAGTCCAAGACTTAAGCACCAGAGATCTGCCTATAAGAAAGACCAAGCACAGGACCCAATTTCTTCACCCATAAAAATGGGGACAATACCACCTGTCCTGCATGGTAATAGCAATATTGTGAGACGCTGTTGGAAAAATAGCTGTGTGATTGTAAAATATAAACTGTAGAAAACACACAAATTGACTGGGTATGCTGAATCTGATTTTTAAAAGTAGTAGCTTTAAGAGCAAGTAAAACTCCTCCTGTGTTCTAGGGATAGAGTCTGGAAAGGATGCAAGAGTTCCTAGCTGCATAGAAAGTTTCTCTCCAAACTCTTTTGCGGATCCCAGTCTATATGAACCACCTCTTTGCAAAAACAAGTCCCTCTTTGAGTCAAAGACAAAATCCCAGGCAGACCGAAGGGGAAAACCTACCATAACAATAGCGCTGGCACCCCCAGGTTTCCACGAACCTTAGCCATTCACAGCACCCAGGGTCTCTCTCAGACTTTCCTCCCTGGAATTCACTATTATTGTGACAACAGAAACCAGTTTTTAAACTGAGCAAGAGTAGGCCTAAGTGGTATAATCAACATAGCCAGACCTCTTAAATATATGTTGTGTGGGCCAGGCACGGTGTCCCAGCACTTTGGGAGGCCGAGGCAGGCAGATTGCCTGAGCTCAGGAGTTTGCAACCAGCCTGGGTAACATGGTGAAACTTCATCTCTACTAAAATACAAAAAAAATTAGCCAGGCATGGTGGCATGTGCCTGTAGTCCCAGCTACTTGGGAGGCTGAGGCAGGAGAATTGCTTGAACCTGGGAGGTGGAGGTTGCAGAGGTGAGCCAAGATCGTGCCACTGCACTCCAACCTGGGCAATAGAGCAAGACTCCATCTCAAAAAAAAGAAAAAAAGAAAGAAAAAGAAATACATGTTGTGTGAAGAATTGTCTCCAAAAGCTCAAGTCATGGGGTGGTCCCAAGGAAGGCTAGAATGTCTTTTTCTTCAGGCAAAAAAACAAAACAAAACAAAACTTTCCTAATAGCCAGCCAATGTCTAAAATTCAAAATTTCATCCCTTTAGCTTGTGTCTAAAATATAGAACACCCACTCCCCAGAAAATATTCATTTCATGTCAGGCACTTATATTTTGGAGTGAAAAAAGACATATTATCAGACATAAATAGGCATGTCACAGGGACAGCAAGAAATGATAATTCGGTCTACTTCACAGTTCAATCTACATTTGCCCAATGGTCTTTCCCTTCATAGCCTTATAAGAATCAAGCTTTGAGCCAGGTGTGAAGGGTCAAAGAGACTCTCTACAGAGAGACAGGATTAATAGGCAAGAAGAATGTATCTTTAAAGCAACAGCCAGGTATCCTACTTACACATGCGCACCCCTGGCCTCATTTGGAAAACAGCCTCCTTGGAACATCTGGAACTTAAAAGGGGTTTGCCCAAGAAAGGGTCTACCACCAAAGCCAGCTTCTGGATCCATCCATGAAACTCCCCACCGACCATGACCTATATTTCCTTTTCTTACTTGTATCAGCAGGTGCCCACTGAACTATCCCCTCATTTGAACTTGCTTACCTTCAGAAACAACTCATCTATAAACTCTCCCCACTCTGCAGGTCACAGCTTTAGGCGGATCACAGCAAAAAGATGAGAAAAATGGAAAAAGAGAACTGATTTTCTAAGCCTTATGTAAAATACCCGGATTTTAAGACAGTTCCTTGATGGGTACAGCAGCTCACACCTATAATCCCATCACTTTGGAAGAGATCCCTGCACAACATAGAGAGACTCTGTCTATACAAAAAATTAAAAATAGAAAAAAATGTTAGTCAGTCCCCCTGGGACTAAACACACTTATCTCACCAGGCCAGTGTTACTGGGAGACTGAGGCAAGAGGATCACTTGAATCCAGGAATTTGAGGCTATAGTGAGCTATGATCACACTAATGCATTCCAGCTTGGATGACAGATCAAGATCCTATCTCAAAAAAAAACAAAACAAAATATAAAAGTGTTCCTTTCTACTGCAAAAGTATACCAAGGCTCCTGCTGTCTCATAAGCCTTCACAACTGCACAGGGAAAACCATGACAGATCAAATGTAGCATGCATGGTTTCCCTAGCAAGTAGATTTAGGGGAAAAAAAAACAAACAAACCTGTAGCATGGAATTCCCACCCTCATCAGTCAGAAAAAAACAGAATAAGTCAACAAGTGGTCCCAGGAATTATATCACGCTTATGTCAAGAAAAGGCCATTTAACACCCCAGTGGTAAATAGGATTCCATCTAAGGAACTGCCTGGATATTTTAAATGCGCACAGCCAAGAGACAAGACTACCTAAGGGAAGGGTGGGACTAGGGTTCCCACGGTTGTTGGAATAGGCACACCTGAACACCAGGCTTTCAGGCAACTGGGTGGCCCAGCCTTAACTTTCCCTTTCCAACATAAGTAGCCCCAACCTCCCCCATGCTGCTCAGTACTAGAACTAAGAGCAATGGATTTATCATCTCACCAGACCATTCTTCCAGACAAGTAGGCCTGAGATGGGGTCTTTCCTTGCTGATCTAAAAGGTCAAGGTGCCCCAAAGGCTTCCTCTTACTGCCAACAAAAAACATCCTGGCGGGGATGAGGAAAGTTGTTCGGGAGAGATAGAGACATTTGTCATGACTCCTAACCAAAAAGAACTTCTTGGACTGTTTGGAACAGGCAGTGCCATGTGTGGATCCTCCATGAACCTCACATGTACAAACCTAGGTTTCAACTTGCCCACTTCGGGCCACTCAGTTCTGAGCCAAAGACTCTAGCCCAGTCCAGCCCGCAGCAAGGCCTTACCTGCTGCAGTGGACTCCTCAGAGTTGGCCCCCGAGCTGGTTCCTGTCGCCTTCTCGCTGTGACTATGGCTGAGGCTCTGGCCCTGGTGCAGGAGGAGTCCCCAGAGGAGCCACAGGGCAAGACGGGAGCATATATCCATGACTCTAGGTCTCAGTCAACATGCGTCTGATGTGGACACCTTGGGATCCCAGAGGCAAAGTCAGGAGCCCGGGAGTGCAGCCGACGTCTCCAGGCAAGGCACCCTCGCCGCTCCGCAGCTGTCTACCCGCGGGCCGGCCCCCTCCAGCAGCCAAAGGTCAAGTGCTCCAAGTTTGAGTGCGGGAGGAGGGCTGGTTCCTCAGGTTCAATAGTGGGTCCGCAGGGGCTGCGGGCGGCCTGAGCTCGTGCCGCTTCCGGACAGTTTGGGCAAGGTGGCTGCGGGGACGCTGTCAGCTCCGCAGCCCGCTACACCCCTGCGTGAAGGGACGGCCGGGGTCTCCGCGGGCACAGGAGTTGGTGGAGGAGGATAGAGAAGAGAAGCGAGGCGAGAAGGGGGCACCTGACCTTGCCCTGCCGAAGGGAGGCGAGCCCCAGAAGCTGGGGAGGGAGTGCGACCCGCAGGGTCCCGCGGGCGCGGGCGGCTCCGGGATACTGGGCCTCCTAGGCCGAGGTCAGCGCCCCCGCCCAGTCCCGTGCCCAGGAGGCTGGCGGTGCCCAGGTCCAGCAGGCGGACGCGCACGGGCCAGGCCCAGGACAGCGGCTCCCAGGCAGGCGGGCGGGCAGCACGGGGCGGGCCCGGGGCGGGCGGGGGCGTGCTTTCCCGCGGGCCCGCCCCGCGCCGCCCGGCCCCCAGCGAAGCTCGGGCCCGCCCCAACCCCCGGCTGGATGCCGGAATAACTGGTGGTGACGGCCCCCTGGAGTCCCCAGCCCCCGGTGGGTTCTCTCGGACCCTGGGCTCGCACTAGTCGTTGCCAGGACCCCCCTCCCGCTCCAAGGACCAAGTCCCAGCCTCCCTTTCACCCTCCAGAGTCTCCCGCGCCAACCGCCGGCCGGCGGGTCCCTGACCCTCAGTTGCTCAGGTAACTCAGGCCTGCGGCGGCGGCGGCAGCGATAGCAGCCGCCCTGCCCCGATCTCCAGGCCGTGGTGCTGCTCCACTCGCCTCAGCTCTAGAGCCGGTCTGAACAGACTCCCGGGACACAACGGTAGCCTCCCAGGAGCCACCTGAGGCGACAACAGCCCGGCCCGCCTCGGCCCGGGGACGAGCTCCCAGCCCCCCAACTCCCGGCCAGTTCCCAGGCCCCGCCTTCCCGCCGCGTCTGACTACCAATCGGCTTCCGCCTCTCTGCGGCTTAGGAACCCGCGCTCTTTGTCGCCCATGCGCAGCGGCCCCTGGTGGGAGAATCGGCGAACTGCAGGCAGGACTTGCGCTCCTTGGAGGTCCTGCTCTTTTGCAAGAGGGTTGGGGAGGGAAGCTAGGACGCGCCCCGGGGGAGGCCCACTAGGACCACTGGGGCCTGCGAGTTTTTTTAAGAGGAAATTATGATGTCAGAAAGCAAAATGAAATGTCCAAAGCACTCTAGCTAAAATTCCTCTACACATTCTTTGAGTCTGAGCCAAAGGGTGCCATCTGTCTTCCTGACCACGCCTCCTCTCCCCTCCAAGCTAAGTGGGATGCCCTCCCTTAGCTCTCACAGCCCGTTTTCCTACCTGCCCCTCAAGCTCCTAGCCCTTTAAGGTTTTTTGGTGGGGCCTGTAAATGCTTCCTCCCTTCATCTCATTCTCCCAGCTACCTCTCTGTGTCGCTGGCTGGAGGTGTCAGCAACTTGAGAATGAGTGCGCCAGAGAGCCACGCCTAAGCCTCCTTCAACAAAGCCTGCACTTCCTGTTCTCAAGCGTGCTGTCAGCAGATCTGGACTGAAACCTCCTCTTTGCCCTACCCTGTCCTTGGCATCAAGGCAGGGGAAGGGATTATGCCCAGTCCCTCCTCTGACTGACAGTGCTAAACCAGCTACCTGTTCTGAGCAAGCCCTTTGAAGACTGGGAACACGGATTTGCCCAACAGCTGCCTGGCTTAAGGGTTAGGCGGTCGATATAAAAATACATGGCCAACGTCACCTACTACCACTCTCCCGGCTCTATTAAGCTCCTGTTACACTAGCTTTAAGTGCCCAAAGACGTCAGACTCAGCCACCTTACAGCCTTTGTAACTGCGGTTGCTTCTGCCTGAAACACTCTCCCCAGCTCCCAGTTCCTGATGTAGCTGGTCTCTCATTCTTCCAGATACAGCTCAATGTCTCTCCTTAGAAACTTTTACTCTGCCCACACCTCCAAAATCAGTCTGTGGCCAAAACTGGACCATACACGTGTCTGCCCTTCCCTCCATAGATAGTGATTGCCACTTTTCAGAGGTCAGAGGCTGTGCCTCATTCATCTCTGTGACACTAGGACCCAGCCATAGACACTAGGACCCTGCACACAGTAAGTGCTCAGTAAAAGCTGGATGACATGAGTTAATTCATTTGAACACTCAAATACTAAAAACTAATAATCAATACCAGAACATTGGAAAATTGTCCAGAACAGTTGAACCCCTGACCTAGGTTTTACTAGACCTATTCTCTGAGCCAGGGGTCTTAAATTCAAATGGCAATGTGGGCAGTAGGTAATATGATTAAGAAAAGTAAGTGGAAGTAATGGGGAGTGGTGAGGACTGTGGAGAGCAGGCAGAAAGGTGGACCTAGTATTGCTGGAGTGTCATTAAGAGAAGATGGGGCTGGGTGCAGTGGCTCATACCTCTAATCCCAGCACTCTGAGAGGCCAAAGTGGGTGGATTACTTAAGCCCATGAGTTCAAGACCAGCCTGGGAAACATAGTGGGACCCTATCTCTACAAAAAAAAAAAATTTTTTTTTTAATTAGCCAGGAGTGGTACCTGGCGTCTGTGATCCCAGCTACTCAGGAGGCTGAGGTGGGATGATTGCTCAAATCCAGGAGGTCAAGGATGCAGTGAGCCATGATCACACCACTGTACTTCAGCCTGGGCAACAGAGCAAGACCCTGTCTCAATTTTAAAAAGAGAGAGAAGATGGAAATCTGGACTTTCATATTACATATCCTTTTTAAAAAATATTAGCAATTCACTTAAAAGGATAAAACCTTATATAGGCCACATAAAACATGTCTGCAGCCCAAATTAATCACTCAGACTGACAGTTCATCATTTCTACCTACCAGCTCTCCTGCCTGTGCATTCATTTGGCTAAGAGAACATGAAAGAAAAGAACAAAGTAAAGCATGTTTAACACAACTTCCTTCAAACTTGACTACAGCATTTCTTTTCACCACCATATGATTTCTTCGGGGTTATGGGCGCTTATCTATTTGGTACAACAAACAAATCTTAGAGACAGGAAGTCAGAGCCTCTTACCAATTTACACCAAGACCTTAAACCTCTTGGAGCCTGTCAAATTTCCTGTGACACTAAAATGGTGTCTAGGAACTAAAAATAGTTACTGTGATGTACCAATTCCAATTCTGGGTATATACCCAAAAAATGAAAGCAGGGTCTTGAAGAAAATTGTACACACCCATGTTCATAACAGCATTATTCACCACAGCCACAAGGTGAAAGCAACCCAAGTGTTTGTGGATGGATGAATGGATAAACAAAATATGGTATATACATACAATGAAATACTACTCAGCCTTAGGAAAGAAGGAAATCCTGACCATGCTACAACATGGATGAACCTTGAGGACAGTCTGCTCAGTGAAATAAGCCAGTCACAAAAGGATAAATACTGTGATTTCATTTATATGAATGTACCTAAAGCAGTCAAAATCATAGAGACAGAAAGTAGAGTAGTGGTTGCCAGTGACTGGGGAGAGGGGAGAGAACAGATAATGGGTATAGTTTCAGTTTTACAAGATGAAAAGAGTTTTGGAAATTGGCTGCACAACAATGTGAATGTACTTAACATGACTAAATTGTACACTTTAAAATGATTAAGATGGTAAAATGTATGTATATAGATATAGATATATAGATATATAGATTTTTTTTTTTGAGATGGAGTCTCACTCTGTCACCAGGCTGGAGTGCAGTGGTTCGATCTTGGCTCACTGCAACCTCCGCCTCCCAGGTTCAAGTGATTCTCCTGCCTCAGCCTCCTGAGTAGCTGGGACTACAGGCACGTACCACCATGCCCAGCTAATGTTTGTGTTTTTAGTAGAGATGGGGTTTCACCATGTTGACCAGCATGGTCTCGATCTCTTGACCTTGTGATCCGCCCACCTTGGCCTCCCAAAGTGCTAGGATTACAGGTGTGATCCTGTAATGGCACCTGGCCATTTATTTTATTTTTATATTTTCCTGATAGCAGTAACTTAATTTTATTTTATTTCTTTTTATTTTTAATTGTGGTTAAAAAATACATAACAGGCTGGGTGAAGTGGCTCATGCCTGTAATCCCAGCACTTCAGGAGGCCAAGGCCGGCGGATCACTTGAGGTCAGAAATTTGAAAACAGCCTGGCCAACATGATGAAACTCCATCTCTACTAACAATACAAAAATTAGCTGGGCATGGTAGCTGAGGCAGGAGAATTGCTTAAACCTGGGAGGCAGAGGTTGCAGTGAGCTGAAATCATACCAATGGACTCCAGTATGGGTTACAGAGTGAGACTCCATCTCAAAAATAAAATAACAAATAAATGGTACCTGGGAGCCAAAGCCACAGCCTGGGCAACAGGAAGAACATTCTGGTATCTTCTCTGCCTCCAAGATCACTATGTGACACTAGTAAAGTCACTTCCCCTCTGATTTCAGTCTCCCAATTATAAATAGGGCAGCTACCAGATTACTGACCCAGTGCAGCTTTAATATTCTACAAAATTTTAAAATCCTGAAACCTAATAGATCTTCCTGGATCAGAAACTGTGACCCTGATCTCTAAAGCCCCTATGCTTCATCGTTCTGAAAGTGTGGCCCTTGCAAGAACCCAGGTATATTCTGGGGCTCACACCTAAAATCCTAGCACTTTGGGAGGCTGACACGGGGGGATCACTAGAAACCAGGAGTTTGAGACCAGCCTACGTAACATAGTGAGACTATCTCTACAAAAAGATACAAACATTAACTTGGCATGGTGGTATGTCTCTGTAGTCCCAGCTACTCAGGAGCCTGAGGCAGGAGGATAGCTTGAGCCCAGGAGGTCAAGGCTACAGTGTGCTATGATTTGCCACTGCACTCCAGACCCAGTGACAGAGCAAGAATATGTTTAGAAAAAAAAAAGGACCCCTCACCATATTGTAAGCCTCAGGAGGAAACAGAGCTTTTTCCCCATCTCTCTTTTTATACATATACAGTCTATCTCCCTTGCATTAATCTTAGGGCCTTGCTTAGATGTTCTGAAGATGTTGGTTAAATCAAATTGAATTAACTAATTAGTATGCCTCCCTATTCCACTATTTGTAAGAGTTTTTGCATCTGTTATCTCATCCCTTCCTCACAGAAGCTCTGCTAGATAAAACAGGGGCTATATGGTGGTTCCCCCTTACCTGAGGTTTCATTTTTCATGGTTTCCACTACCTGAGGTCAACTGCTGTCCAAAAATAGGTGCGTATGGGATTGGGTGCAGTGGCTCATGCCTGTAATCCCAGCACTTTGGGAGGCTGAGGCAGGTGGATCACCTGAGGTTAGGAGATCAAGACCAGCCTAGCCAACATGGTGAAACGCCATCTCTACTAAAAATACAAAAATTAGCAGTGTGTGGTGTCCTGCCCCTGTAATACCAGCTACTTGGGAGGCTGAGGCAAGAGAATCGCTTGAACCTGGGAGGCGGAGGTTGCAGTGAGCCAAGATTGCACCACTGCACTCCAGCCTGGGTGACAGAGGGAGAATCCATCTCATACATAAATAAAAGGTGAGTATGGTACAATAAGATATTTTGACATAGAGAGGAAATCTATTTTATTGATCTATTTTATTATTATTTTTGTTCATCTCTTACTGTGTGCAATTTATAAATTAAGCTTTATCATAAGCATGTATGTATAGGAAAACAGTAAATATAGACTTTGATACTATCTGCAGTTTTGTGCATCCACTGAGGGTCTTGGATTATATTCTCCATGGATAAGAAGGGACTACTTTACTCATTTTATAGGTGAAGAAACAGAACCTGAGGAGATAAAGTGGCAGGTGAGAGCCAAGCTTGCTCTCTTCTTTGGGACTTCCTCCCCATCCTTCAAGTCTCAGCTCAAGTGAAATAAAAGCATCCATGCCCTGACCAATAATTATACCATATATAAATCAAGGATTATGACTTTTTTAAAAGACTAAAAATTCCACCCTGATTTAGCACCTTGCCTGACTTGCCTTGTCTCTTCAGTCTTCTATACCTTAGAGTACTTACATAATTGGATTATGATTTTTTTTTTTTTTGAGGCCGAGTCTTGCTCTGTTGCCCGGGCTGGAGTGTAGTGGCAAGATCTCAGCTCACTGCAACCTCCTCCTCCCAGGT